GTTGCTCAATGGGGCACAAACAATGTTGACCTGGTATCCACTGGTGACCAACCTTCAACTTTAACCGGGATCGCAGCTACAAAGGCTGCCATAGACAATTCCCTGCCAGCAGTTTGCAGCTTGACATCCCCTTATCTTGGGGGGCTTGTGCTTCAAGGAATTGTAGACCTTATCAGAAATGATGGTCACCTGGGCAGCAGTATCTACCACTGCTGTTACTTGCACATCCCCCTACTTGGACCCCCCATGGTAAACTGGGAAGAGGAATTGACCTGACAGACAACAATAGGGTCTGGTTCGACTCCCCCCGTGCTTACTTGGCTGAAATTGGCAGCCAACCGGGATTTTTTAATTTTGCAGGTCTTGTCTGCAGACAGGGACGGGAAAACGACCTACTTTTTTCACCGTCCCTGTTTAACGACTTATGGTTGTCGTTAAGCTTAGGGCAATTTCTTTTGAAATGCCCTATTTCGCCACAATTGTAGCATTCGGTTGATCTGCGGGGTTGGGACAATTCTGACAAAAAGGTTTTTTGTCAGTCTTTGCTCCAGGTCATTTAAGGCTTCGCTTAAATCATCAGTTGACATATCCTTTTGCCTGCTGCTCCCGTGATGGCTGGGAGGCAACAGCAAAAACCTTTTCCGGTTTTTTCCGGTCACCATACATGGCTGCGTACACCTGCTGGTACTGGCGTACCATTTGTATGGCTGCATGCACAGACTTGGGTTGCTGCATGCAAACATGGAGACCGGCCTCTTTGTCAACCATACCCTGACAGAATCTGTTCACTGTTTGGACAGTGACAAACTCCTCTGGCAGCTTCTTAAAAGCTCTATAACCTAGAGTGAGCACTCGGTCAGCCCACTCATCTAGGGACTCGGTTGTCTCTTGTGCTGCATTCTGAAAAACTTACCTGTGCAGCAGCTGGCAACTCATGTTGGCCAAATCGGGCAGCCAACTTGCTAACCAGCCTCTTGTAGGTAAGCTGACCTTCTTGTTCACAGACAAGCGCATAATACTCGAGTGCTTTACCATCTAAACAGCAGACAAGGCAGCTAACTTGTTCTTCATCAGTCCACTCGCCTTGTTGGACATAGCGAGTGAACTTTAAAAAGAACGGTTCCCAAGTACCCTTACCATCATATGATAAGTGTTTCGGGAAAGGCAGATATCCGGTTACGAACCCTAGTACGCCTATGGACAATTGGTGCCCTGGCGAACACAGAGTCATCACTGCAATCACTATCCACTACCTGGTCAAAACGTATGGTACGTTTAGGGGTGGTATAGTCTGGAAGTGTAAGGTAGGGGGGTGTGTGGATTTTGACTTTTTGGCAGTAAAATCCGCAGGAGTCATCAACTTCAGATTTTTATGTGGAAAAACCTTGTCATCTGTTGCAAGGGTGCAAACAGATGACCGTTGTTGCTGCTTGTGAGCGGCCAGAACATTGGTTGCCGCTTTCACCACCTTCACCATTTCCAACCAATCATGTGCACTTGGCTGAATATCTTCCTCCTCGTCCTCGTCTGTGTCTACCTCCAAGCTAGATTGGCCTAGCTTGTCAGTATTCTCAGCTGGCAGAGACATATTCTGTCTAAAGTCTATCATAGCAAGTATCTCAGGGGAGAACTTGCGACGACAGACGGCCTCTAAAATCTCCCTGGTTATAAAATACCAGAGCTCTCCCTCACTGCAATGAGCGCCTTGTGGCTAGGCTTGCACCCACATTAGGTATTGCCTGTAGCCTTTCCTCAGACGCAAAGTTAATGGCAACCAAGGGTGGTTGCACAACCTCTGCTTCCTGAGAAAATATCTCGAACTTTCCCTTTATATTGATATTCTCCATAACAACGAAAGATACCGAGAAATATTCAAGTTAAAATGTGTTTTAACTAAATAAATCTCAATATCTATCTTCTCCCCCTTTATATGGCAAAAGGGCTAAATGGAGTTTATCAAAATATAACAGTTACTGTACCAGTGGCAGCAGAACGAAAAGGAAATCCGAAAAATAAACAAATTCCAAAGAATTTGGTCCTTCCAGGCCACGTCTAACCTAAGCGGAATTTGATGGCAAATTCCCGCTTAACTACGATTATTTACGTAGAAATTCTGGTTTAAATCGTTCAAGCAGATTGGCCCACTATGAACAAAACCAAGAATTCAGGTAGACTTCGTTCTACGAGTGCAGAATTTGAGGGCAAATTCGTACACAATCGGTAAAATTATGGACCTTTGGTAGCGTCTATCTTTCGGAACGGAATTCGTAAAAATTACCGCTGCCACCAATATAGAACTGTCGCGATTGATTATAAAGGGATTGACAATACAAACAATCGACTTACCTTCCACGTCTGGATCGCAGCCAAGCTAGGAATTGCCTAATTCTTCTTAGTTATTTATTACACTAATATGGCGCCCAACTGTCAGCCTAACACACTAGTTCCGGTTGGTCCGGAACCTTTCGTTAACTTCCGTCAACTCCCGTAACCAGTACCATACGGTACTACAGTAATAAACATGTGTACTACGTCAGTAACATGTGCTTGATTCGCAAAATTTCGTGTACTTCTGTTGTTTTTGCCGTCAATACAATGACTGAATAATTTCAATTATATCGTTGAATTTTATTTCAAAAATCTATTATTTTAAGCCCAACAAGCGCTTGAATTTCATACAATGCTACAGTAGTTTCCAAAACAATTGTGTTGCTACGTCATCAGTATACGTATCCAATACGTCATGAAATTATGCTCGTCTTGGTTAGCGTAAATATACGGATATTGCTCGAGTATAATCGTAAAGGTTCGCTGGTTAAGTAAAGACTAAGTTATCATCGTTAATATCCGTCAGCCTACTTTAATTCAGGACTCTCGATTGACGCGGGGATTGGGGTTTTGACTCGTGAAAATTTGGAAATGCACAAATATGACACGTGAAAAAATCTGCACAAGAGTCAATTTGCCACTTTGGATTTTCAACTATGCAATAATTATCACCTTAAATCCACCCCTAATTAGATCTACATATGTTCAAATCACACTCCATAAAAATGTCAACAGGCAGTATAATGTATAAAGTGGTTTATACACACAGCCTGAGCACTGAAGCATGACATCAGTGGATGCAATTTGACAGCGCTAAAAATAGCTCTACACAACTGATAAAAATTACATACTTCAGATGTCAATTATTGATTTTTTTAAGGTTTATAATAATACGTCTTTTGATTTACTTGGAGTGCCTGTACATTTGTTATTTCTTTTTGGATTATATACTCCTATTATCTATTAATTAAATGGCCAATGATAAAATTGTCAGAAATGCAGGTTGACCATTAAGGTCAATTGATTATTAAATTTCAATTAGAATCTAAATAATAATAGTAATCCTAGAAAAATATTATTAAATAGATCTAGATCAGTAGGCCCTATGTTGTTTTATTTAAAAAAAAACATTTTTATTTTCAATTTTATTGTCTTCCTTCTTTATCTACTTGTTTACTTTCAACAAATAGAATTCCTAGTCTTTAGGAATTTATGTAAGATTCAAGGAATTTAGCACAGATGTTAAGAATTTTGTTCTACAAGATAAATTCTAAGTAATTCATAAAGACTAGGAATTTTGCAAAATCTTAAGTCTTAGAAATCTCAGAAAATAAATTACAATTCCTAGTATAACTTAGAAATTGATGAGTTGTTTAAAAATTATCAGAAATGCCTAGTTCTCAGTAACTGGTATTTCCTAGGCCACACTAGAATAGCCAAGACTGGTTTTAACATTCTGGAATTTTCTAGGATCATAACTGGGAAATACTGGGACTTTTTAAATACCAGTATATATTTCTGCAAGGGATGCGGTGGCATAGCATTTTTCTCAAATGCAATCTTGTTTTTAGATTAGAAATGCTTAAGGTAAAGTGTAAAAAGCTATTAAGTTGTCTGTAACCAGTAGAGTAAATGTTTTAATATTGCCAAAGTAAATGATGTTTAATTTGAAGCAAATGACACAATGTTGTGTAAGTTCATTAAAAAATAAGATTTTGTTTTATTTTGATGTGATATTAAAGTAGAGCAGAAGAATTAAATAGCTACAAGCTAATTAATATAGTACATTAGCTAATAATTATTTTGTATAAAAAATAGGCCTATCCAGCCAGCTTGCAGAATGCAGGTGGTTATACTCAGGAGCCTGTTTGTGTCTGAAATAGTGCACAGATGGGCACCTGAGGTCTTCCTCCACCAGTTTAACTGGAAAGTCACCAAATGATTTAAATTGTGTTGGTGCGACTTGAAACCCGATTTAAAAAAAAATGAAAATAGGCCTTAGACAGAATAAATATGTTGAACATTTCTAAATTGATAAAACTGTTGAAAATTAAAAATCTATTTTCCAGATATGAAGGTTATCCCTAGAATATTTAAATATGTTTGTCAAATTGTTCCAATAATGTGCCTTTAAACAATTCTGTATTATTAATTTAGGTGTATAAACTTAAGTAAATTTATAGCCTACTTTATGCTAGATTGTAATGATTATGTAAAGTTAAGTATTAAATAACAGTGTGTGTAATGCGTTGCTAAGTTATTAATATATCTAATGATATACTTAGTTAGTTGAGGTCCTTTAAAGCATGGTGTTAGGTGAAATATAACATGAAAGTAATATTGTAAGTTTGACCTTAGTCACGGAATACCGTCCTTACGTTTAGGTAACATTTTTAATGTCTTGTTGCGTGGACAAAGGATTTACAGCAATAAATTTGTACATGTGTATGCTATGTATTATGTATACAATTTTAATTTTTGTTTCAAATATAAGAATGATGAGAATGTTAATTGTTACATGTTAAACAAGTGGATGTTTAATAAGGACTGAAGTTTTACATTAAATTTTGTAAATCGAAAGGTTATCTGTGATTCTGCTAAACATAAAGTTAACCAAACCATTCAAATGATAATTAATTAGAAATCTTTTTTCTTTTTTTTTTCAGATAGTAAATCCAATGTGAAGTAGAAGTTTTGGAATTTATTTGTTTTATTGGACTTTTGACGTATTTAAAAAAAAAAAAGATGAGTACTGTAGATGGAACCTATATACCTAGCCCCACCCCCAAACCCCATCCCCGTATCACTGCTGAGGCTGCAGGCTATGCTGATAGAAACAGGGGAAACATGGAGAAATGGTTCGATTACACCGGAGAAGATTCCTATGAGTCGCCGCGGCCTGCCGGTCGGGCTGTGACGGAGGAGGGAAAAAGAAACGCGGATTTAAATAAAGGATCGATGTCTAATATAATGGGTGGTTATGCGGACCCCCCAATGCAAAGAGTTGTTCATCCACGTGCCGTAAAAGGAGATGCAGCGGAAATAGCAAATCAGAGTAAAGGCGGAGCTATGAAGGATTTAATGGATAATTACGGACATTTATCTCTTGACGAAAAACCCACTCATAAAGTGCACGGCCAGGACGCAGAAGAGTATGCCGAAAGGAATCACGGTACCATGGATAAAATAATGAACAATTACGGACAGTTAAGTCCGGAACAACCTCCACCACAGAAAGTTAGTTACGGAGGTGAGGAAGTTGCGGAGAAATATCGGGGTGCGGGGATGGGACCATTGTTACGTATGGAGGGTGAGGCAACACAGGCCGAGCCAAAGATAGGAAGATTACATCAGACCTCACAAGGACCTGGGTATGAATCTTACCTTATTATAACAAGTTTTTGTTAACTTATATTTTAAAGGCACATTATGCTTCAGAAACGAGTAAATTTTTATTATTTATTGGAAAGGGCAAACTTGTGTTCTATAAAGTTTATATTCAATATTTTTTTGGAGCATGCTAGATGTTTGTTACCTTAAAAAAGTAGTGATTTTGTTATAAAAGTAGCAAAATGTAAACAAAGTGATATTTTGTTTTCCGTAGGCGTACAAATGAATTTTGTTTTGACACATTTTCATCAGAGGAAATTTTCTGTATGATCTGATGATAGAAGATTTACTTTATTTAATACTTAGGTCTTCATTACTCATGGGTAAAGAGTTTTCACTACTATTTCTGAATTTTTTCATGATTTTAAACTCCAAAAAAATGTATGGGATGTAAACTAAAACATGCATGAAACAGTATGTAAAAACAAATTTCAAGATTTTTTAACTTTCCAACATTGAATTTGTCTAAGTTACCCAGTTGTCAATTCCATCAGAATGTGATTTTAAAATTGTGATATTCAGGCCATCCTTAAAAAAATGTTTGTTTGCAGTAACCCGACCCAGAATTTTCAAGGTGGGTAGGTAGGTCGATTTTTTTTTTATGCCCCCCTTCGAAGAAGAGGGGGTATATTGTTTTGCTAATGTCGGTCTGTCTGTCGGTCCGTCCGTCGGTCTGTCCGTCGGTAGACCACATGGTTTCCGCTGATTATCTTGAAAAGTATGTATCCTAAAGTCTTATTATTTCACACAGTAATTGGTCATAACTAGTAGATGACCCCTATTGATTTTGGGGTCACTAGGTCAAAGGTCAAGGTCACAGGGACCTTAAAATGTGAAAATAATTTCTGCTGATTATCTTAAAAAGAATTCATCACAAAGTCTTCATATTTCACATAGTGATTGGTCATAACTAGTAGATGACTCCTATTGATTTTGGGGTCTCTAGGTCAAAGGTCAAGGTCACAGGGGCCTTAAATGTCAAAATGGTTTCTGCTGATTATCTTGAAAATTATGTATCACAAAGTTTTCATATTTCACATAGTGATTGGTCATCACTAGTAGATAACCCCTATTGATTTTGGGGTCACTAGGTCAAAGGTCAAGGTCACAGGGACCTTAAAATGTGAAAATGGTTTCCGCTGATTATCTTGAAAAGTATTCATCACAAAGTCTTCATATTTCACATAGTGATTGGTCATCACTAGTTGATGACCCCTATTGATTTTGGGGTCACTAGGTCAAGGTCACAGGGGCCTTTAATGTCAAAATGGTTTCTGCTGATTATCTTGAAAAGTATTCATCACAAAGTCTTCATATTTCACCTAGTTATTGGTCATAAGTATTAGATGACCTCTATTGATTAAGGGGTCATTAGGTCAAAGGTCAATGTCACATGGGCCTTAAATGTCAAAATGGTTTCCATTGATTTTTCCATAATTGAACACTTCCATGTACCCATTTTTGGCAAGTTTCTTTAATAAAATTACCAATTATGTGAGTCAATGGCTAGAAAGGGGGGTATATGTGTCGTTCGACATTCTTGTTTTTATTGAACTGTACTCCCAAATAAACATGGAATTTCAAAATGCTGGACAATATATGCTTTGATAATCTGGTAACAATTAATAAATTGACAACTGAATTCTAATTTAATAAGACCTACATTTTATTTCTTCTATTAACCTTTAAAAGAACGAAAACAAAGCACAAGGCATAATTTTCTGATTAAAAAAAAATAATTTTTTATCCAGACCATGAAAAAAAATTTTGAGTAGGGGCAAATTTTGTGAGTCGGTGGCGTTACTTTTATGTACAAATTACATTTCATTTAATGCATTAATTACTGTAGAATAGATGCTTGAATAGTTTTGATTTAATAAAGCCTTCTCAAGTAAAGCAGTATAGTATCTTATCAATATTATGATGATATAATTTATGTTAACAGTTGGGATGAGGATCCTCCAGCTGTGAGGACGAGGCCGGAGGCTGAGGGTATAGCCGATAAACAACATTCTGAATTTGTGGGTAACTTGATGAGAGGTGATGTAGACCCACCAACTGTGAGAGACACCAAAGTTCAAGCTCACATGCAGGAGTCGGCTACACCGTAAGTCATATATATTAGCCGTGTCACGACAAAACCAACATAATGGGTTTGCAAACAGCATGAATCCAGACCAGCATGCGCATCCGCGCAGTCTGATCAGGATCCATGCAGTGTTCGCTATTAGTTTCTTTACTTGTTTTAGGGTCTGTAAGCGAAGTCTGTCAGACTGCGCGGATACACAGGCTGGTCTGGATCCATGCTGGTCGCATAATGTTGGTTTTGTCATGACACGGCTCAATTATAACCATTATCTTGCTTAATTTATCAAAATTCTGGTTAAAAAAACTACAAAATAATTTTTTACCTATATAATATTACGTTTTCTGTATCCCAAGGATTGCAGAATTTTTTTATATGTTTTCTTTTTAGAGGGTAAGAAAAGAATCTCCACACCTTGGGAGTTGGTATATTGATTTTCCCTTGTCAATCTTTTCCTGCTGTCACACTTTTCATTAATATTTTTTGGCCCCCTGTTAACAGCTTTATCTTTGGCTATAATATCTTTGTAAGGTGTGTGTATGTGTATACACATGTATATCATTGTGTGTAGATATGCCTTACTTTTGATGAGAGGTTTATTTTGACATACTGTAATATGATCCCACAGCAGCCTTGAGAAGGTAATCAATTACAATATGGACTGTTTCTGATACGGATGGAATAAATCGTTAAACCAGTTCAATACAGCTTGTACAGATTCATTGAGCTCTTGATGTAATTTTACCACTTGAAAAAATTTATATTTTTAAAGCATATCTCAAGACCTTTTCTTCAGCACATGTCGTAATTTCTATACATCTTAAATTTCAGTCGACCTCAGACGAGTCCATTGCGTACACGGCCAGAGGCGAGACATAATTACAACAAGAACCAGTCTTCTGAGATGTCTGCCATCATGCATGGGGAAGTTACTACTGCTACACCAAATAAGAAAAGTAATAGAATGATGATGAAATCAGAGGGATGGTAGCCAATCAGAGACTTTAGTTTTGGTCATTTGATCTCTTGATCAGCCAATCGGTTTTGGTCATGTGATCTCTTGATCAGCCAATCGGTAATGGTCATGTGATCTCTTGATAAGCCAATCGGTTTTGGTCATGTGATCTCTTGATCAGCCAATCGGTTTTGGTCATGTGATCTCTTGATCAGCCAAGCGGTTTTGGTCATGTGATCTCTTGATCAGCCAATCAATATTGATCATGTGACAATTCTATGACCTAATAAATAGTTATTTATCAAAGATTTGAAGAAGAAATAAATATTAGATAAATTCCAGAATTATTTTGAAAATTGATTTAATAATTAAAACATTTTTTTCCCATATTTTTATACCTGAGGGCAAATTAGTGAAATAGAAATAAGTAAGATTCCTAAGAAATTGCTCAAATTATGAGCTACTTTTGAATGTTGTGTGAAATGTCAGATATTGTCTTGTTTGAAATTTTGAAAATTTCCAAACTTTTTTTTTTGGATTTACTTGATAACTGTTGTTAAAGAATTTTTAAGTATGTTAGCTTTTGTCCTGAAAACGTTCGGTGTAATGCTTTTTGGCAGCATGTTCTATGTTTTATTTTCCAACAACTTGCATAATTTGATTTATTTTTTATCTCCACATTTTCAACAGTCATTCACAAATTGTTTCAAATAGATCGCATACAAATTAAAGTTATACGCAACTGTCATGCCAGCATTTGTGCTTTGAAGTACTTTGGTCTCATTCTAAATATGACATAATATTATGGACACATGTCACTCAAACATTTATATATTGCACACAAATAATCTAAATTTCGTATTCATCACTTCGATATGGCAGGTTACGTCTTCCAAAAAAAATAATTTTTTTTAGTCAGACATTTGAAAAATTAAAGAATTATAATATAGATGACATTTAAGTTGGTTAGGATAATCTCCCTTTTTTTAAGTAAAGTTTGTTAGATTGATCTCCCTTTGTTAAGTGATAAATAGAAAGAAGTTATTTTTTGAAAAGTTGTATTTGAATTGTGATACTTTTGGGTCCAGATGTGAATGTTAGATTCGTGCCTAGAATTAATTAGGAAAAAAAACAAGAAAAGTACATGGGAATTTTGATAACTCTTGCTAAAATATATGTCTAAAACTAGCTTGGAATTTATATTAAGTGAATTAAATTATATGCCTAAAGTAAGGTAGGGATTTTTATAACCCAAACCAAAATACATGCCTATACTTAGATAGAATTATAATAACCAAAACCAAAATAAATGCCTAAAATGATCTGACATCTTAGTAACTAATTTCCATGGTTTTGAAAGTACACTAATAAATATATTAGTTACTCATTTCAATGGTACAATTTAAAACATGTGTAGAATTGTATTTTGACACTTTGGATAGCCTTACAAGTATATAAATGGCATTTACACTAGAAATTGACCGATTTTATAGACATCATTGTATATGTATATATCTGATTGCGTATTCTTCTTTCTACCATTTGTGATTGTGACAATATTCAGCTTGCATCATGTGTAAAGTGTAAAGCCAGGGATGATTATTATAATGATGTGTTCATTCCTTTTGTGTTGTGAAAACTTATTGTGTTATTTTTGTATATATATTTTACACGTTTACGTCTCGCTTTTTGTGTATACATAACTTTTTCAATGTTTTTGTTGACGTATTTCCATTGTGTTTTGATCGTATACATAACTTTTCGAATGTTTTTGTTGACGTATTTCCATTGTGTTTTGATCTGATTTGTATCGAGTTGATTTAAGTCAGTGCAAGAATCTGGCTACAATAATTAGACTGAAAAAAAAAAAAAAATTAAAAAGAAAAGTCAGTTTCATATATTATTTGTATATTAAATAACTATGTTTGTGATCTTTTTTCTAAGTGTTCTTTAAAATAAGTTATTTTTAGAAACAGTTGTTTGGTTATTTTTTTCTTTGTTTGGTTATTTTTTCTTTTCGTTTTTTTTTATCAGTTTGAAGCTTTACTTATTTTATTGAAAGTTTTATCTTAAGGTTAGTGACTGCCAAAAGGTTCACGTTTGTTCGTTCAGAAAAGTTGTACAGTTATGAGTTAAATATTTTGTTTTAGATTGACGATTTGAGATTTTTTTTACATATTATTTTAAAACTGGTTGTTCTTCATCATCCAATTATCATGCCAGTGTGTCGGATATCAACTTCATTCTTAACGAAAAAGCTCAATGTTTTTAGGATATAGCCTCGGCCCCCGTGGTTAAGGTGTCTGCCTCTCAATTCATGCCTGCCCCTTTGGATCATTGGTTTGAGCCGTCTAGGATGATCATGTTTTCTCATTTGACAGTACTTATAAGATCCAGGATAAAGTTTTGAGAGTGGTTCAGATAAGTTATAAAGGTTGTCTTCAATCAGTCATAAATAAGTCATCTTTCAGATATAGCTCAACATTTTTTGGACTAGATTAGTATAATACATACTGTACAGTAACAACAACTTTATAATGAGTGATTGGACCAAATAAGTTAATACAAAAATTGACTTGCATACATATTTAGTATCATTCAGTGAATTATTTAGAAGCATTCAGTGAATTACGTAATTCAAAATTTATAGGTCACCTTTTGGCCCTGAGACATTAAGCATTGAATATATAGTTACTATGAGTTAACTTAAACTGGGCTTAGAATCACTATAGTTATCAATACCTATGTAAATTTTTAGTATATTTCGTCACCTTAGTGCAATAACTGATTAATTCAGGACTATTTAATTTAGGACTTATTTCGTTATTGCAATAAGGTGACAATTTCTTTATTCTCTTTTTCACTTTTTTCTGTAGCAAGTTTACCAATTGATATATGTAAGATTTTAAATTTTTATGTTATTAGGCTTTTGGACCTCAGTGGATCTGATCTTAAAAAATTGCTATCTTAATAGTTTTTTTCCTGAATTTGTGCTCTTTTTATGTTGAAAATGTACAACATATGTAGCTACCATAAATATTGTTAAGGCTTTGGAAGTTTTCAATTTTATTCCATATCATTTTTATACATCTATTTTCTTAATTTTTTTTTAATGTTTAACCTTCACCTTGACTACACCATATCATTTTTTGATGACATTTTATGCATTAAGTACAGCAGCTTCTGCCTATGAACATGTAGAAATAAATAACTTGCTATTACTATTTAGCAGATGCAATTTGTCTTGAATAGTTCTATCATTTGAAATGAAATAGATGTACCATTTACAAATAGAGAAAAGACTAATGACAGAGGTCAAGGTTACTTGGAAATGTCAAGGTCATTTTAAATAATTATTGAAGTTCAAGGTCATTTAGGTTTCTAACTTCTTAATAACTATTTTCGTAGAGTTGTGATAGATTAGGTCCATCATATTACTCTTATTGTTATATTGACCTTTGTTTTTTGACCTTGACCTTTAGTTTGACCTTTTACACTGGTGCTGCACATTGTAAGCTTACCTTAGCACTGCTTATGAGTAAATATTTTGATATCTGGTGGTACAGATCGTTGACTTTAAAACACTTGCCCCTCACCGCTGTGGGTTTGAATCTCAACAGGGACTTTGGATTGCTAAAGTGAGGAAGACTTTTTCAAATTTTAACAAATAATTAAAACTCCATCCAAAAATCTGAAGGAAGGAAGGAAATAAGAATGATTTTGATTTGTCATTGTAAAATAACAAGCTGTCATATATTTTCAATTACATTGTATAAAACAAGTATGCAGTAGTCTATAGGGCAATGAAGGGTCTCTATGACCATTCTTGTTGTTATAATAGAACTAGATAGGTTAATAAATTATTGATAATAACTTGAATTTGTTTTATATGAAAAAACTGTAGATTTTTAAAATAAGTATAATAGATATTACTTTATAATGCATTGATTTTAAGCTCTAGTTGTAAATAGGGAAAATCTTCCTCATAACATTTTTGTTGATAATTAAAAGGGTATTTTTATTATAAGCAAACCTTTCATAATCGTCACCTTAGTCCAGTAACATGTTAACGCCTTTTCATACAATTATGATCATCATGTTTGATATTTTGTTACACAAATGCTATGTCTGTAAGGTATAAAGTTGCAGGACACATATATTTTATATCATATCTTTAACCATTATTTAATGAATCTCACCAAGGGCTTTGGATTCATTCATGTAAGGAAGCTATCCAGCTAGCTGATGGAACGTTGTTGGTTTCAATCAGGTGTCTATTGGTGCCTGAAATAATGCATGGATCAGCACCCGAGGTATTCTTCCACCACTAAAGCTGGAAAGTGACCACATGATCTCCACTGTGTTGGTTACAACATAAAACCCAACAAAACAACACAAAAATAACATATTTAATAATGATAACTATGAATTCACATAGCAATTGATTCACAGATTTTAAGAAGAATTTATTAAATCAAATAAAACCAGTTCTACAGTAGTAGAAAATAACAGACTCTAAGTCTGATCATGAGAAGTAATTGTAAGTGAAATGTTTTTCAAGACACCTTTCACCACGATACTTCGAATAAGACTCTTAGCAGAGTTTGTTGCAATTTTTCTTCTCAACCATATTTACTCACCCTATAAGACGGATCTGTTATAAGACGGGGGTCCTAATTTTTAATCACAGGTTAAGTGTGTGTTTCCTGCAGCTTTAAATCATTTCTCTGCACAAGTATTTTATATTGTGATATTCTTTAGTTTGGCTTCCATAATAAACAAAATAAAGTCTGTTCAACAGTGCCAGTGTATTTTTTAGTAAATTAAAGTTATGACCTTATTGCCCAGTGTTTCATTAGTGTGTTTGCCTATTCTATTTAATCAGAATGTTAATTAACTATTTTTTGTTGATAAACCATTGTTTTTAATCAAGAATACTGCAATTATTTCCTTGCAAGAATTTGGTAAATAATTCATTGCTGAATTAATAGCAGGAATTTAGTAACTATTTCATAGCAGGAATTTAAAAACAAACTCGGTCAAATTCAAGTCAAGAACTAAGTAACAAATTCAAAGCAAGAATTTAGTAACAAATTCAAAGCAAGAATTTAGTAACAAATTAAAAGCAAGAATTTCTTAACTGTTTCATAGCCAGTATTTTGTAACTATTTCATAGCAAGAATTTAGTGACTATTTGTAGCTATGATAAAGTAACTTTTTCATAGCAAGAATTTAGTAACTAATTGTAGCTAGAATTTAGTAACTATTTCATAGCTAGTATTTAGTATTAAGTTACTATTTTATTGCAAGAATTTAGTAACTCAAATTCATAGCCAAATTTATGTCATGATTTATTAACTATTAATTACTTCTATGAAAAGAAAGTAGTAAATCTTTGCTCAGTAGGGAGTAGTTCCCCACTTGTATTATATTTAAGCATGGCTCAATATTTATTTATTTAGGTCATACTTATTATAATCTAAATGGCAAAAAATTGTGTGCGTCTTCCACATAGAGACAAATAAAATAGCATACAGGTAAAACCTCGATGTTAAGTATTTCTTTGGAAATGAAAAGTAGTTGTTGAAACACTTGTCTTTAAGGTTGTATACAGCATTGATATTAAGTTATTTAATACAGTTATCGAAAAAAAAAATTCTGCAAAACCACTGGTTAAAACTTGTTAGTATTTGTTATTACCAAATTGTAATCAATTTGCATTTAATCGAGACAGTATATGTTTGGCTATTCAACAGCATCAAGTTCTTCCACAATGCTATGAGATATAAAGAAAGGCGTAAATAGTGCAGTACTGACACAACACATTGTTCTGACTAAATTCTTCACCCAGGTTGTAATTTTTTTGTCAGCATTAAAGCTGGAACACATTTCATTTCTTATTCTGTTGCAGATTTTATTTTGCTATATATATTATAACCTTATTGTTAAAGGGCCTAATTTGTACATTTTGCCAATAAACTATATTGAAAGCTTTTCAAGATTTTGTTTATTTCTATGCTTACAAGCTTTTTCCTTCAACCTGTGAAAAAATGAAATCGTTTGACCTTTTCACAAAAATTTGTGCAAGGTAAGTCTGTACATTTGTGCAGTCTGACCTTACAAAATGTACAGTCTGAGACCTCGCATTGGTGTAGTCTGACAATACATTATTGTAGTCTGACCATGTAATTGCAACAACTTTAAATCATGCCAATAGTTTAGTCTGACCAACTATTCGAGAAGTCTGACCATGCAATTTGAGTAGTCTGACCATGCCAATGGACTAGTCTGACCATGCAATTTGAGTAGTCTGACCATGCAAATGGACTAGTCTGACCATGCCAATGGATTAGTCTGACCATGCAAATTGAGTAGTCTGACCATGCAAATGGAGTAGTCTGACCATGCAAATGGAGTAGTCTGACCATGCAAATGGACTAGTCTGACCATACCAATGGAGTAGTCTGACCATGCAAATGGATTAGTCTGATCATGCAAATGGACTAGTCTGACCATGGCAATTTGAGTAGTCTGACCATGCCAATGGACTAGTCTGACCATGCAATTTGAGTAGTCTGACCATGCAAATGGATTAGTCTGACCATGCCAATGGACTAGTCTGACCATGCAAATAGAGTAGTCTGACCATGCAAATAGAGTAGTCTGACCATGCCAATGGACTAGTCTGACCATGCAAATAGAGTAGTCTGACCATGCAAATAGAGTAGTCTGACCATGCCAATGGACTAGTCTGACCATGCAAATGGATTAGTCTGACCATGCCAATGGACTAGTCTGACCATACCAATGGAGTAGTCTGACCATGCAAATGGATTAGTCTGACCATTGCAAATGGAGTAGTCTGACCATGCCCAATGGACTAGTCTGACCATACCATTGAGAAGTCTGACCATACCAATGGAGTAGTCTGACCATGCAAATTGAGTTGTCTGACCATGCCAATTGTATAGTCTGACCATGCCAATGGACTAGTCTGACCATGCAATTGAGTAGTCTGACCTTTCAAATTGTGTATCGTTATTTTGTTTCATGCATTTGTGACAATTTTTTTTTAAAATTTTTTATTTCTTGCCCTTTAAAAATAATTTTAAGGGCTTGTTATTTGCTCACTTATCAAAAGTTTTTTTGATGTAAAAAATTTAGGCATTGTTTGTTTTTTGATAAGCATTTTGTGAGTGCAAAATGCAAACCTGTGGATTACAGATGCCAATGATCATGTACATTGACCATCATATTGGTATCTGCTATACTTGGTTAAGGCAGTCTTTACCACAAAAAAAATTCTAACATCAGCCAATATCGTAGATCAGTTATTTACGGAATGTTATTTTTTTCAAAATCTTTGGCATTAGATTAATTACATTATCACTCATCCCTTTGTACTAAATTCCGGCAATAAATGGTTACGCCGGTTATAAATGGTTAAAAATTATTAAATACCGAGGATTGCGAAAAAATGTTCCAGAAATAACAGATTAATCATGATATTGACCCGATGATTAAATTTTTTTGGCGGGAAAGGATTTATACTATAAAAGGTAAAGGTCTTGTTTATCATAGTGTCACCCCTACTATGCAAGGCGGATAGAAATCCGTAACCATTCATTTTAACTACCTCTTGGCTCACGAACCGGCCTTTTTGGAACGTGTCCCACAAGAAACATTCACCTTCAATTAACGCTCCCTGTGGGGCTCGAACCTTCGACCTCCCGATCCAAAGGCGGACGCCTTAACAACTAGGCAAACGGTACCAGTTAAATATGTATTTAGAAAACTGACGAAAGAAGGCAAAAGCAGCTTTGGGTTCCTATTTTACCCATCGTCTGTTGTTATCTAAAGATTTATTACTTTTTGTAATCCTCTATTAGTTAGAAAGTTAAGCCCATACCCTAGGCTTAATACGAAGAGCATTGAATTTTCATCCCAGGGGTCACTGGTTTGATCCTTTATGATAAAGCAAAATTTCTTTGTGATAACATCTCGGACAGCAAGTCTAAGAGAAAATTTTGTTTCTCATCGCTGAATCAACGTGTAGATGAAAAGTTGGTAACTTGCTTACTGGTTAGCTATCCAGGAAAGATGTTGATGTTGATTGTGTTAAAGACAGACATGTGTTAAAATAGGCGTAAAATTTAAAACTATACAAATCTTAGAAGTGACACAAAATTTTACTCTCACTTGGGTGTCATGGTTAGAAAATATGCTAACCGTTTAAATGGCGATCTAGTAAATAACCGTGTTAAACATTTAACCGGCCGTACTAATATGGAGTAACTATTTTCTGTAAGGGTTGTACCATACTTGATCAGATCAGAAAAATACATTGCTGGGTTCAACTAAAACACAAACAAATTGTCATATCTTGCTATCAAAGCTAAGGTAATATTAGAAACAATTTAAATCTTTTTCACCAAATACTAACCTTGGTTACAGGTTGTTGAATTTTCTAACCGGTTTTCAGCTAAAAACCTGCCATACCCTTTTAAACGTGACACCCTTAATTACAAACACACTAAATGAAAGGTACCAATACGGGTTACATAAACTCACAAGAAACAACACATTTATTTGAATACTTTATTTGCATGCAATGATCAGCCAACATTTAAAGTACAAGTACATAAAGGTCAATAAAATGGATACAAGTGAACTTTGAGCTGTGACATTAATTTCTGGCAAGTATTTGGGCTAAAAAAAACAACAAGCTACTAACACCATGAGAAGAAAAATTAATTCCATGGTATTTACTTCTACAAGTATTTGATAAAGTTTCTGGAAAATGAATGAAAATTTTAAATTGAATTCATTATAAAATAGAGAAACGGAATCCATAAAAAAATGCCTAAAAGAAC